GAGTAGAAAATCATGAGTGTGGGAATATATTATCTTTATCACGTCTTAAAATCTTAAACAAATCAGATTAGTAGTTTCGTAGAAAATGCGGGAAATTAAATTAAGAAAATCCGCAATTTTAGTGTTGAAATAATCATTAGAAGCAAAAAGCACAAATCTTTTTTTAAAGAATCTTTCAGATTGCCTTTTAATCAAATAAAAAATTCAAAAATTTATGCATATTTGTCCTGGTTAGTCCAGGGTTCCCCACATTACAAAGGTTTAAATAGGATTAAATAGTTTTACCTAACTTTTTCAGACACAAGCATTTTCCATCGTTCCTTGCAGCCATACTCAATTCATGGACAATCAATTCATATGATCTCTTTAGACAAAATCACTTCAAACAGATTCCGATTGATATGATTAATTTTGCATAAATTTTAGAGTTGAGTTTTAAGTGTCGTAACTTCACCATATCAGCTATACTTTTTTGCAGCCTTAGACATGTACGTTTAGAACTATAAAGCATATATTTTTATATTCTGTTTTTTTGAGGGGATGGAAAAAGTCTCATCGATTTTTGCTTAAGAGCTTGCCACCTTTGTTGATAACTCTAATATGAAAGTTTATCACAATTGATGAAGTCACTACTAATAACTGTATTATTTCATTTTCACTTCCTACTTTTTAAATATCAAGATTAAAAAAAAATCTTTTCTCTATGGAACAGAAAAGATGAAAACTCGAATTTTGTTGAATTTGATCAATTTATATATTTTATATATAACATTTTATCGATCTGTACTCGATGTAAGAATGGTTAGATAAAACTGCTCAAATATATATCTCTTATCTATACAATGAGTCTAAATGTTGTATATATATATATTGTGATGATAACAATATAATTTTTCAGATGATCAGATATTTGAAAATGTTGATAAAACTAGATGATAAGGAACAAATAAGTAATGGCCAAACAAAGTTAAGTAAAGTAATCTTTAATTACAAAAATGTTTGGTGATATGTACATTGCTCAATGCACGCTTTACTAAAGTAAAGGAATTGCAACTTGACGGTGAAAACCTTTTATAGTTCAAACTCAGACTATTTAATCTAACAGAATTTATATTTTGAAATATCAGAGGTCTACAACATCAAGTTTCAAAGATATAGGGATTAGAAAATCTGAGTTTGTGGAAGAAATTCAATTCATTTTACACGTATAAGCTAAAAATATTATATTGAGATATCATAGTATTTTTCTGTTTAATTCTTTATTTTTAACATTTTCAAAATAGACAATAAATCATAAATCATATATCATATATACAAATGTACAATTCACTAGAATTCCAGCTGATTAACTTCCGTCCTCATCATTAAACCTCCCTGTTTTATGTTTGTATTCCCAGGATTCCTAATAAATTAGTAATATTTAATTAATAAATCTTCATTTTAGCAGACAACTTCGCCCCCCTACAATACTTACATAACCCCATGCTGAGTAATGAGGAGGGTGCACTCAAATTTGCCAAAATAAAAAACATCAAACAAGTTTAAAATTACTTAGGGGAAACTTATTTTAAATAAAGGCTCAATTAAACGGACAATTGCAGTAATTTCAAGTGACCCTCAATGCAAGGATGGCGATACTCGATTCACAACGGTACCCTTTATCTCATCACTAATTGGAAGATGATGTTGTTTTTCTAAATTGAAAAGAGTTTAATTCCGATGATTTCTATATGTTTTCCTGCAGCAAAAATGCGCAAGCCACAATTTTGTAGAGATACCAAATTTGAAAATTATCCTTTTTTTCAAAAATATGTTATATTCAGTAATATCTAATTTATAAGACAACGCTCGAAATTAAGCAGATTATAGTCCCTGGCTTGATCTATTTAAAGGGACAGACCGGCTATGTCAGGTAATTAAGCTGAGCATGCAGTGTTGTGGACAATTTCTTAAGGATTCATTTGGGATATATAAAAAGATTTGTAAATCCTGAGTTTGAGCGCAAAGTCGAAGATAAAAATAGTACTTTTGGGTGGACACGTTTTAGAATGTTTTTTTTTATTATTAGGTAACGACGATATAAAATGTAAACAAAATTCTACATTAAAATAATTAATTGTATAGGAACAGGTTGAGAAAAAAAATTAACTCTTATCATCGTAAATAAGTAATCTTATACAATTATTAGTTTCTATAATCTCTCTTTAATCACACAGATTTTCTGCAGATTTTCTGGAATTTTTATTTAAAAGACGACATTTGAAGAATTTGAAGAAATCTGCGAACAAATTCAAAGAAAATAAGAATTTCAATATAATGATGAAAAAGAAAATAATTAATTCCATCTTCGATTTATTGACAAATTTCTATTGAGAAATATGTTCCTAAACATCTAATTAGTTTACTACAGAATTTTTACTATATTTTTCGTTGTCGTTATTTAATAATTTAAAAGAACCCGATTCTGAAAACGTACCCACCCAAATTCATGATTTTGAACGTCGATTTTGCACTAAAACTCGTGGAAAAATTGTTTATGTCTCAAATGAATCCTAAAGAATTTGTCCACAACCTCAAGAACTGACAAGGGTCAACCCACACTGAAATATATTTTAAATGAATGTTGAACTAACATCTACTTTTTTACTCTACAGAGGTTTGGTCCATAACCATCACCGAATTTTAAAAGTGTATGCTCAGTTAAACTTTAACCTTACATAGCCGGCCTGTCTCTTTAAGTGTGTAATCCTCAAAAATCATCTAAACTAAAAAACTTATAAATAGTTAGTGCGGAGGCCATATGATCAATATAGTAACATTGTTTGTGTATGTATGTTGGAAACACTGCGGCCAGGTCAGAAGCACGAATAATTATAATTATCTTATTGTATTTTATATAATTTTGAAAAAAAAGAGAATTTGAATTTGTTATTTAGCTCAATTGACAAATCAAAAATAATTTACAAAAAATGGCTAGCCCGCCGTTTAGTGCGACTCCACCTTTATCACTACCC